TCCAGAAATATAATCTATGCTATCATGTGCTGAAAGTGTCCGTCTGCTATGTACATTGGACAAACATCTCAGACACTTCACCAAAGGATTAATGCCCACAAAACAGATATTAGACAGGATCACAAAGACAAAACAGTTTCTTGCCATTTCAACCAGAAAGGACATTGTCTCAACGACTTGATTACCTGCATACTGCTTCAAAGGCCTTTTAAGACTACACTTGAAAGAGAATCCTCTGAACTGTCATTCATGCTTAAATTCGACACTTTACACCTAAGTTTGAATAAAGACGCTAATTATCTTACTCATTACAAAGATAGCTTCCCTAATTATCACCTCTAATATCATTAGCTCACAGACATTTACCTCCCCCCCATCGTCCTTCTGTTCTGAAATTTGATTTGTCCTTTTCATATGTGTTCATTTTTTAAATTGTATCCTTTGGTATATATGGTTGTGACAATTTTCTTCCACTATTTGATCTGAGGAAGTGGGTCTGGCCCACGAAATCTCATCACCTAATAAACCATCTTGTTAGTCTTTAAAGTGCTACATCGTCGTTTTTTGTTTCAGCTACACCAGACTAACACGGCTACATTTTTATCACTATAGAAGGGATATTTATAGTCATAAATGACCTCAGCGGGCTGCAAGTGTCCCAGCAGCTGGCCAGAAACAAGTCCCCCCTTCCCACTCCAGCCTGCCCCAGGATGTAGCTGCCATGCAGTTCCCCACTACCCCAGGCTGCCTTGTTGCACAGCCACTGACTGGACCATGTAGCCCTCGGCATGCTGGGTTTCAGTGTTACAGTGTCACAGACATTGGGCTACTATATATATGATGAAACATCTGAATCATTTTACTTTCTCCTAATATGGAAGCTGTTTCATCTCCCACTCATAGTTGCCACTGCCCAGTTTCCAACTCAAACTTTTTGTTTTTGAGATGGGTTTACCAGAACTGCATGCCCTATTCAAGATGTGGGTGTGCAGATTTATACAATGGCACTGTGATATGTCTTATCACTCCCTTTTCCACTGGTTGCTAACATTGTCAGCTTCTTTTGAGTGCCACTGTATAGCGAACAGATATTTTCAGAGAATTATCCACAGTGACTTCAAGATCCCTCTCTTGAGTGGAAACTGCTAATTTAGACCTCCCACTTTTTGTATGAATAGCTGGGATTATGTTTCCCAAGGTGCATTGTTCATTTATTCATTACATTTATTCATATGCCATTTTGTTACCTGGTCACCAATTTGGTGAGATCACTTTGAAACTCTTCAGTCTCCTTTGGACTTAACAATACAGAGTAATTTTGTATCATCTCCAAACATCAGGGATGAAAAATGCTGGGATGTACCAGTGTGCCCTGCACCAGGCCACACATCCTTAGTAAGGGGGAGGGAGGAGCTGATTCTAGGACTACCTTTTGTTTCCTGTGTTTTTAAGGATGCATGAGAAGACCTTCCCTCTTGTCCCATGCCTGCTTGCTTTGCTTAAGAGCCTTTGGTGAGGGATCCTGTGAAAGGCTCTCTCAAAGTCCAAGTACCCTAAATGCACTGGATTGCCCTTGTCCATGTGTTTGTTTGACCCTCTCAAAGAATTCTAATAGAGCAGCAAAGCATGATTTCCTTTCCCAAAGCTTGTGTTGCCTCTTATTCGATCAAATGTGGTTTTGTCCAGTGGGGTGGATGGTTGATTCCTAGCTTCAATAGGTAGTGGACGCAGAGACATTCTAATTATCTCCAAGCCTTACTACAGTCAAGGGCTGGGCTGGGGTAGTGGCTGGTGTTGCATCAGGAGTGAGTGAGGTTCCAGCAGGGAGTCATTCAGTCATCCTTTTCCACCTCAGCAAGTGAGCACATCTGTTGCTATTAGTTGACAACTCTCCAAAGCACCTGTGGGGCTGTCTGGCCAGCACAATTTTCAGGGCTCTGCCAGCTCCCCAAGTCCCAAGGTGGCCCTGTGGCCCTCCTATTGGGCAGAGGGCAGCCCCCTGTCCCACAATGCTGAAGGGGGACCGCCAGTCTCACTATGCCCTGGGCCACATGGAATGATCACCAGTCCCACAACGCTCTGGGGCAACCTCCAATGCCCTGGGGCAGCCACAAAACCAACAATTTACCCTGGGGTGACTGCATGACCCACAATGCTCTGGGGGCAGCCACCTATCCCATAATGTCCTATCCCACAAGGCCATGAGGCAGATTCCCATACTATGGTAGGGTGACCACGTATCCCACAGTACCCCGGGGCGGTCTGCTCCCATGATGCCCCGTGGCTCTACAGGCTCCCTCTCTTGCAGCCCCCTCCAATCACAGCGAGCAACAGACCCCGCCTCCTCCGAGTGTCGCGCGCCGCCGTCATGACGTAACCGCCTCAGGAACGAGGCGGCCCCGCCCACGGAGAGGCGGAGGAGGCGGGAACAACGCGATGACGCTCCGGGAAGAAGATGACGTCGAAAAGGCTGCTCTGTGTCGCGCGGGGGGAGGCGGGATTGAGGTGACGCGGCGCGCGCGCCCCCTTTCGGACGCGGGTTGATGACGCCATTGGGCGGCGCCGGCAACTCCTGGCAGGCGGTGGTGGCGGCGGCACAGGGAGCCGGAGCGAGGCCCCGCTCTCCGCGGGGGGGTGAGTGACCGGCTCTGCTCCTGCCGCCCTGTTCCCACCGAGATCCGCCCTCCCACACCTTCCTGTTCCCACCACGGTCCGGTCCCCCTTCTTCTCCCCTGCCATCCCCTCCGTCGCCCTGTTCTCTCCGCGGTCCGCTTCTCCCCTGCACCCCCTTCCAGCCCCGCTGCCGCCCCCCCTCTATTCCCATTCAGCACCTCGCCCGCCATTCCGCTGCCCTGCTCCCACCCTCGCCCCTCTGCTCCCACATGGGTCCGCTTGCTTCATAGCGCCTTCCCCCATCTCTGTCCCTGCAAAACCTGGGCAAGGCAGGGGGTCCCAGAGTGTTTGGGGGGAGTAGTTTCCCAGCCTCCGCTCCCCCCCGGGAGCTGTCAGAGTCTTTGTCATCCTCCCTTTCTGCCTTTGATCTTCTCCAGGCCCCTGGTGTGCGGGCTGATGGGATCTCAGGGCAGAACTCCCCACACACCACACCCCATGGAGGGTTGCCC